CTTAGAGAGGGCTGAAAGCCCTATGAAGTGGTATATAAGTCTAACTGCTATTGCTAACTGCTAACTGCTATAAACTAAATATACTCAATTCCTGCAACTGTTTTTCATGTGTTCCATACAAATGATGCATGGAATTCTTTTTTCTGAAATCCCTTATCCTAGTAAAAACTGCAACTGTTTCATTGGGGCAGCCCTACCTTTGTACCTCATACATATTAAATAAACAAATTAAAAGTATTACATAGTACCATTGTTCCCTAATATTCAGAAGAAAAAATAAACTGTTAAAGGTTGGCGTTCAATTAGCTACAAATAGTGTTTCAATATCAGAGCACTGAAGATTAATTCCACAGAATTCCAAGAAAATGAGAAAAACCCAATACAGAATTTGAACAAAAGCACTGGGGTGAGATCTGCCTTAAACTTGTGCCTATGTCTGTGTATTTCTTATTTATTTACCAGGTAAGAAATATCAGTAGGAATCCATTTCTATTAGCTTAAGAATGAAGGAACTAACCAGCAAGAAACCAGGAGAAATAATTTGTGCTGCAAGCAACACCATTAACTAACTCAGTCCAGGCATCTTCTTAGAGAAAGATATCTGGTTTGAGACATGTGACAGCTAAAAAGAGAAAGTCTTTACATGATCTCATCAACCAGTTCTTCAGATGGATGTCTTGTGAAACCCACTCGATCAGATATCATGTAGAACTGAGAGAGTATCCCAGCTATCGTGAAATCTCCGGGCACAAAATACTTGTGCTTAATAAATTGAGGTTTCCCCACATTGCATGCCTTAGTACGAGAAAGAAGGCATGCGACCTCTGGCAATAGGACTGCTATTACTGCCATGAAAAATACCATCTTTTTCAAGAAGACTTTCATTACCAAATATGAACCGGTTCCATCTGCGACAATGAAACATTTAAAAAAAAAAGGAGTAGTTCTCATTATTTAGAAAAATCGGCATACATATATTCTTTCTCAGAGTGTGGCATTTCTAACCCTTTGGTTCCACAAATAATAGCACCTTTCAGCCTTTACCTGAAGACTTCCCTTGGACATCCCTAAGGATTTGAGAAGAAGTTGCATTATCAAAACTCTGCTGGTAATTATAAGAGAAATCAATGGATGTTCAGTGAAGCTCCTTAGAGACTTTGAGTANCACTGGTGGAACCTCTTCTAACCGGTTCGGTAGATTTGATGAACCGGTTCTACCGAATAGGTGCGAACTGGTAGGAAACCAGCTCTGGAACAGTGCTGTCACGTCACTCCGTGTCCTTCATTTCTAAATCCATACACTATCTACAATATTTATTTCTATTTCCTGCATTTCACTGCTGATTATTTTTTTAAACATTTCACTACTCCAATACTGAATGCCACCCAAATAAATAACAAAAACAACAACAATCATCATCACCATCATCCAGGCAGCCTAGATGAAAGACAATTGAAGAGCAGAGTTTGAGGATGGTATTATTTTCAGTGTACCAAAATGGTAATAGATCCATCCTGTTGCTGAAGCAAAGAAAAATAATGGTTCTTGCCTTCCCTGGGAAACACATAGAGGTGGTTCCATGGAGCTTAGGGGGTCTTTGATTGCTTGGAACTTTGCAATGATTCAAAGCTAATTCCCTGCTTGTTTCCTTCTTTCTCCCTGGCTGTGCATTTCCAAATCAGGATAATCAATCACTGGATCAAACAGAGGCTGACTGCTCCCCAGATACAATAATTATTAAATAGAAACTTGAAAATCCGGAAAAGCCATTTAAGAAAAGAGAAGACTAAGGGAAAAATGCTATTTTTTCTGGGGGAAATCAACTTTCAGATGAAAGGGACTGTTTATAGACAAAAGGAAATATTTCTTATGTCTTCTTAATAATGTGTGAATTATATGATAAATAGCTTTAATTTAATGTAATTCACTGAAGCAGTCGGCGTGAGCTTAAATGGACTCTGGAGAATGGTAGAGGACAGGAAGGGCTGGAGGAACAATGTTCATGGGGTAACGATGGGTCAGACATGACTTCACAACTAACAAGCTTTAATTACTTTAAAAACTTTCAAATATATATTTAAGCTAGACGAGGTTAAAATGCCAGCAGGAATAGATAGCAGCTATTGGATTAAATTCTGCTAAAACCATTAAGATTTAATAAAGATATATCAGTAAATTATTTTGCTATACAGAAATTTAAGCCTTTTTTATTTCAAAATCTCTGGTCATTATTTCTTCATCTTTGCAGTTTTTGGCCTGACAACTTTAAGACTAAGATCCATTCGAATCAATAATTCTGGAAACAAGAAAGGAAGGGGAAGGATACACATTCTGACATCTGAACAGAAATACCTGGTTAAACATGGTAGGCCAGATGATGCCTTGTGCAGAAATGGTGAATAGCTTATCTGGAGAAGCTGCTGGGTCGATCTTTCCAACTTTGAATTTAACAAAGGTCCTGTTTGAGAATGTGACCCAGTTGATAATGTCAAATCCAGTGTCTAAATCTCCATTTTCATTAAAGGAAATTTTTTCTCCTGCAGTGTTATTAAATGACATGGTTCTCAAATAGTGATGGAACTAAAATGAAGCAAAGGTTGGTAATTAAAATGAAGGGATGAGATGGGACAGGAAGGGGAGGGGAGAGGAGAGGAGAAGAAGGGAAGGGAGGGGAGGGGAGAGGGAGAGGGAGAGGGAAAAGAAGGAAGGGAAGGACGGAGGGAGAGCAATTTCAATGTTATTAAGTGATGGATATTGATTTACTACAAATGAGTTCATTAATAGAATTAGTGTTCTTCAACCCCTCATTCATGTTTCTCCCCTGCCATAGGTGTTTTGAACCTGTTCCAAACAAATAAATTTTGCTGTATCTTAATCCTTTCCTGCATATTGTTATATCATTATTGTAGCCTTGTTGCCTATTCAGTTACAAAGGTTCCTCTAGGTCCCAAAAAGATTTGGAAAGCGGAGTAGCAGGAGACTTAAAATCAACACTCCAGTGTATCCCTAATAGTAGGACAGAGCATGACCCGACAAATGCGCGCCCCACAACAGAACACCGACAAAACCGCGGCAATAAAACCGTGACGTCGACAGCGCGCCCATAAAGGCGCATTGACAAAAGAGCGCTGACCAAAGCGCCATTATGGTTAAGGTAAGGGTAAGGGTAAGGGTAAGGGTAAGGGTAAGGGTAAGGGTAAGGGTAAGGGTA